TGGTGTATGTGGAGGAGAAGTCAGCCTTGAGCATCGCTGGGGTCTTTGTTCGCCGTCTGCGTGCATGCAGCTCCACGCTGCTGGAGCAGGCTGTTCCTGCTGGTGTTACACCTGTAACGTGGGCTGCCTCCGTGGTGAAACTGGGTGGTAAAGGTCCTGGCGGGATGGGCTACAAAGCCTGCCCCAAGCCCAGCTGACCCTCGCGGACCCAGCTGTGTTTCTCGAGTTTGGAGATGGCATGGTCTTTGTTCGCCGTCTGCGTGCATGCAGCTCCACGCTGCTGGAGCAGGCTGTTCCTGCTGGTGTTACACCTGTAACGTGGGCTGCCTCCGTGGTGAAACTGGGTGGTAAAGGTCCTGGCGGGATGGGCTACAAAGCCTGCCCCAAGCCCAGCTGACCCTCGCGGACCCAGCTGTGTTTCTCGAGTTTGGAGATGGCATAGCTCCGAGTAGAGGGTGCAGCAACGACTGGGCACAGCGCAGGGCAACGAATGTTGCCAGGGTGGGAGAGTCTCGGTGCGCAGGGCAGAGCTCAAGGTCCTGACTCCTGGGTAAGGGTGTTTGTTCTCTGTCTCAAGGGCATCTGTATTTCTGACGCAAGTGGGATAGAGTTAGTTCCTTGGATGGACTTCTGCTGTCTTTGGGAGCACATGTGCATAGAGTTCCTGGTGTGGGAAGTGTTTGATTGGCAGCTCTCTTTGGGACTGGCAACAGCTCCCCTGTAAGGGGACCCTTTCTTTGTCCCTCTCCCAGGCCTGGCGGGCAAGAGGTGGCCTCTCTGCAGGGGAGCGATGTTTTTCAGAGTTAAGCCTGAGATCCACGCTCCTCAGCAGGAGATAGGAGCTTCTGGGCCAGTATGGCGCTCTTCAGAGCGTGCCAAGCTGAGCCGGATGCAGCGCACAGGGAAGAGCTGCTCTCTGTGGCGTGGGGGTGGCAGGGCAATTGTTATCTTGTTCCAACCCTCTGTTTAGACTGTTTACTCAGGTGGACTTTGGTTTGCTGCAAGAGGAAGCTCAAACCCACAGGTAGGATGATATTGTGTCCCAACCTGTTGTGAACCTTGGAGCCTTCCTCCAGGGGTGGTTTTGATGCCTCTTCCCCCCTTCTGGTACGCTCTTTGGGCCCAGTGTCCTTGCAGCCTCTCGGATGGCTCTCCTCCAGTTAGAGCCTTGAAGGGTTCAGGTTCAAGCCCACCCTTTCCTAGGATGCTAGCAGAAGCTGTGTTTTGGAAGCTATGATGTGCTCCATGTACTCCAGCACACATGCAGGGAAATGATTCCATAATTCCTGTAAAAAGACAAATTCCAAGAAGACAGGAAACACCAGGAAAGTTGGGGGGAAGGGAAGGGAGGAAGGGTTCTTAAGCCTGCAGATTGCTAAACTGCATACCATGGCACGTTCCTGACCACAGGAAACTCGAGCACTTTACAGATCCTCTAGGTAGACCCTTGGGGAGCCTGGGATATAACTTGTGGACTTCTGTTATCCTGAGCTGTTGATCCTTCTGACATTTTTTTACTTGCTTCAGCTCTTCCAGGGGCTTGCCCTCAAATCTTGTCCACAAACCCAGTGGAGTGTGTGAGCTCTTCTCTGATTCCTATCCTCTTGTAATTGAGCTGCTTCTGGGGACAGGTTTCTCTGAAGATGTCACTCACTTCTGTATGTTAAACCCTTAGCTCCATGCATCCCCTCATAGCCTGCTGGAAATGCGTGGGGAGACAGTCCTTGGAAGGCTTTGCAAGGAGTCATTCTCAGCCTTCAGTTTGCTAACTGAAGTTGGGCTGCTGGCTCTCTTGGTTTCATGTCTTTGCTGGAATACTGCTCAAGGAAGAAAAACAGAGGAACATAAAGGACTGAGGAGATGAATTTGTGGTACAGTGAGTAATGATGTGAGCAGGCAGCTGCCTGGCCAGGGTTCCCCTTCTGACCTGTTCTCCTGGCTGCGTGCAGGCATTTCCCTGTTCTGCTCTGGTGCTCATCTCTCTAACATTACACAACCTCTTCTCTCCAGAGGGAGGTCTCGAGGCTCTTGGCCTTTGGAAAAGCAGCTGGGGTTGTTGATCTGGGTTTCCCAAGCTAGACTGTGTGGTCATGCTGTGGCCAGGATACTGGGTTCTCGCACAAATGGTTTTTCCACTTCTCTGGCTTAAAGTGCAGGGAGTTAGTCCAAAGGCATTTTTTTTCCTCCCTTTCTTCAAGGGGCTAGTGCTAGACCATGGGCTGGAGAGGAAAGGAGATCCGGGAGTAATGAGACTGTGGTTCAGTTCTCTGCTCTGCACCTGAGCAGTACTTGAGGCTTTGCACAAAGGTACGATTTTCGTTTCTCTTCCATCCCTGCCTTCTCCCCACCACCACCAGCCTGAGCTGAACCTGAAGGAGTTTTAGAAGTCCAATTGGTGTTCCCTGTGTGATCGCTGTTTGCACTCCACTTGCCGTAGAGATGACTATCAGATCCCTCTCAGTCCCTGGAGGCTGTGCGAGGTAGGCGTGCTAGGTCCAAGGAATGCCCCTTCCTAGGGCAGAAGCTGGCACGAGCAGCTTTTTGGAGCGGCCCCTGGGATGGCTGTGTTGCTTGTAGGAGAAGAGGCCTAGCAAGGCAGGGACTGCAATATAACTAAAATGGAGCAGCCCTCCACCTTCTGGGAGCCTGTGCCCTACGGTGAAGGGAAGACGGACGGATTGCTGCAGCAGCCCAGGCTCCGTGGGGCAGGAGCATCCTTGGAGCACACCAGGATTTTTCTTGTTCCCTAGTGCAGCCCACTAGTGGTCAGTGGGGCTCCAAACTGGGACGTGATGTTTTCTGGGCTCTGCAATAGTGAAGACCATTCCTTTTGTTGCAGCTTTAAAGAATGTGATGACAACGTTCCTGTCCCTGTGTAATATTGTCAGGCACTAAGTATTACAGAAAGGGGTGGGGAGGGAGAACAACCATAAATGTTGCGTCTAACTTGAGTAGCGCAGTCTCCTCAGTTGTTAAACAGCGGCTTGAAAACAAAGTGGATGGTTTTAGTCCAAGGTCAGTACAAAGATGTGGGGAAGTTTCTTTTTCCCTTTTGATTACTGGAAAAGTTATGCTGGAAACACAGGGGAGAAGGCACAGCTACTGGTCTTTTAACGCTTGCATTGCCAGTCCTTTCAGCTTTCCTTGCTAATAAGGCTGAAGTTACTTGATACTCTGGGTTAGTGCTGTGAGGCGTTATGGCAGGGTCGATCCTGTTAGGTGCTAAATGAGCAGGGAATATAGGAGAGCATCTGTCCAAAGATGTTACCTGTGAAATTCTGAAAGCAGCCTTTTCTCCCCTGTAGAGTTGCTAGAAGTAGAAATGGAGGGTTATTCTGCACCCTCCTATAGTAATTGGACTTCTAATCAAGGCAATAAGTTATAATCTGAAGAGGTTCTCCCAAGTCTGCTGCTGTGCTTTACTCTTTCCTCTGAAATATCTGGTGCCAGCTGTTCATAGGAATAAGATGTCAGGAGGGACCTGGCACCTCCTAATTCCTCTGCTTTCCTAGGAAAGTGTGTTGAATGTGTTCAGGAGCCAGGTGTAGCAGTGAGGTGCCCTGTGCCCATCAGCCACCTGTGGGACTGGATGGTCCGTAGCGAGAGCCCTTGGAAGCTGTGTGGGTGGGATGACTTGCTCCTAACACTGCTTTTCTGCAAGATGGGGCCCAGCAGCCCATGCTCTGCCACAGCGAGGCTCACGGGTTGGGGTGGTCCTTTCTCTCTACTGTGAATGCAAGATTGTGGGGACATCTGTGCAAGCAGCCTCCTTGGGAAGCAGATTTTCAGGCAAACAGAGTTTCAGGCAGTGCTGTAGCATGGCATGCTTCTCAAAGACTTGCTAGTGGTGCTAAAAGGCTCTCTTCTGGAACAGATGACACCAATTCCCCAGGAGTTACTGTGAGATAATAGGAGTCTTTTTAACTCTCTCCCTAGGAGGGATTGAACAATTTGGGAGAGAGAAGCAAGCATGCTGGGAATGGTGAGTGAAGTGCTCCACAGGTCTCCTTGGAGGCGTTAAACATTAGAAAATTTAATGCTGCGGTATTCAGGCATGCATTTTCTAGGGATTTGGCTTTATTTGGGAGGACAGGAGGGATGGGGTGAATTCATTAAAATATCATGGTGTTTGTTACCCTGTGTTGGAGTAAGGTAGCTAAAAATGCTGTCTTTTAACTGAACTGATCACTCAAGTGTTGGTAAATGGCAGTTGTACCATATGCAAAGGTAGTGTAGTGCTAGTGCTGTGGCGTGCTGAGCTGCCTGTGGGACTGGAGGGCAGAAGGACCTTGCCAGCCAGAGCTGCCCTTTGCTTGCTCGGTGGCCTTAGGCAATTCACTTAGGTAGGATCCAGTTTCAAACATGGCCTCGGATAAGTTACTTTTTGGCATCCCTGTTTGTAGGTGCTGAGCTTGAGGATGTTTAACTAGAGGATGGTCTTCAAGGCACCTGAGCATTGTGGAGATTTCTGGCTGCTCATACTCATAAGAATCACAGCCAAAATTCATTGCTTCTGAAAATGTGGACTTTCTCTCCCAAACCACCCTTAACTCACCTTTACAGGTACTCGCGTACGGGGGTGATGGTGACGAGGTGCTTTGAAGACTGAGGGCTCTGTATAAGCACAAAGTGCAAGTGCCTTTATCCCGAAGCGCTGCTGGCAGTGCTCCAGCCCTCTGCTGCGAGGGTGTCCAGATGCACGCGGCCCCCTTGGAGCCCTCCTGCCTGGTGGCTGGGAAGGACTGGCCGGCTTGTACCGCTCTGGCCAAACCACGTCCAAGGGCCTCTCAGCGTGTCTGAGACACTTCCGTTTCCAACTCAGCAGCCTGTGAGGCTGGGGGGTTCTCCTGGCTCCTTGGTACGGCTGGGGAACTGGGGCGAGTGGAGGCTAAGAGGCTGTGCACCAAAGTGTTCTTGGTTTAGCTCTTTCCAGCAGGAGAGACATTAAAAAACATAATCCCCTCTTAGACAGTAACTCAGCCGGCTGGACCCCCAGCGTGGATGCAATCATTCACGCTCCGTGGAGTATGTTGTACGAGCAAAACAACTTCCTGGCTGACTGTAGCCGTTCCCCCAGGGGGATTCAGGTGGGCCAGGGTGGCAGCAAAGGCTGGTGACAGCGTGAGGAAGCGGGCCCAGGAGTGCCAGAGCAACACAGTGACCCAAACAGCTGCCTCTCTATGCACGTACCCCCCTACTCTGAGCAGGCAGGCGACAGCAAAGATGAAAGTGGGTCCCACAGCAGCAGAGATGTTCTTGGGGAGAGGAATTTTGGCAGGAAAGCTGAATGAGTTGTGGGGAGGAAGGCAATGAAATAATTTATTTCCCTGGGAACTGTTTTGCTTCACACAATGTGAAGTTGAGAGGCTGGGCTTGGAGCTAGACCACACAGGCTTAGTCTCCACTGGATAAAGCCTAAGAATGGAGGCTGAATTGTTCTTGCACCCCAGACGGCACTCCCTGGAGGAGCTGGCTGAGGACAACACAAAGATGGAGGAAGCAGAATGACTTCTCTGCTCCTCAGTGCAGGCTAGTTCTTTCCTGGAAGTCCCTGTGGTAGGTCAGGGCAGCCTGGGCTGGTGGGAGCTCTGGGCCCTGAGTTCCTTTCTCTCTTCAGGAAAGAAGAGCTGCTCTCTCCAGGCTCTGAAAGCCAAGGCTGTGGTTACCTCCGATGCAACGGTTAGAGCGTGGCTGCAGAACTGGTTGTTCCCTGTTACACCAAGCATCATGTCGTCCAAACCTAAACAATAGCTGTAACTGTACCAGCCGCACAAGCGCAGGTCGGGGCCAAGGATTCTCAACGCCCCCGTGATGAGTTCATCCGGAGAGTCCCCGCGCTGCAAAGGCAACGTTCTGTTGGGACTTGTTCCCTGCTGGGAAATTGTGCAGAAACTCAGAATTAAAGGTGCCTTTTGTTGCCTTGGCCAGGTACCCTCCTTGGTGCTGATTCATCCTGCTCCTTCTGGTAGGAAAGAGGTGAGGTGGCTGGGGACGGAAAGGCTCTCTGAGTAGGAGAAAGTTGCGTGGCTCTTTCTGCGCAAGAAGCGTGACAGATTGCCGGTGGGTCAAGCTTAGGTTCCTGTCCCATCTGCAGTTGCATAGCCAGGGCAGGGGGAGCAGGGAAGGTGGGGAAGGACTGGGCAAGGCATGGAGAAAGAAGGATGAAGAAGAGTATGTGCCATAGGAGGCAGTTCCTTGAACAAAACAACTGAAAGCTGTTCACTGGCTCAGTGACTGCACCGGTGCTGTCTTTCCCCGAGCACATCCCTCTGTATCAATAAACGTGCCGGCAATCCCTGACTCCAGGGTGGGCACGTGAGGGTGCCTGACGCCTGGAGTTCAGGCAGCACCAAAGCCCTCTGCACACCAGGCAGAGCTGCTTCCTTCAGCTGCTGTGGAGTGGGACTTGAATCCCAGCATAGCTGCAGCCTAGTGGCCCCCCTGTGCAGGGATGCAGGCCGAGGCGCTGGGCCAGTGCAGCACTGCAGGCTAACAGGCTGTACAGGGAGGTGATGGGGTGGGCAACAGGGGCTAAGGTTGACTCTGCAGATGTGCTGACACTCGTGCTTTTAAGATGTGTTGCATGGGCATCATCTCCTTTGCCCAGAGTCTCTGGCTTTGTGGCGCCCCCCAAAATGATGGCAGCAAGGGACTGGCCTTGGCCAGCAAGTTCACCTCAACCCAAGCAGCTCATGCCTGGCCGTTGTGTTTCCAGGGAGTTATTTGAACAAAGCTGCTGTAGAGGAACGTGGGCCAGGAGTACTGGGGCAGGGAGGGGAGGAGAAGAAAAGAAGCCTCGTTGTGGGTCGCGAGCCCAGCATCTCTCCGTGGTTGCAGGCTTTGAGGATGGCGGCTCAGGGCAGACATCGGCAGGGCTTGTGCAGCGTCGGCAGGGCTGGTGGAGCTATCGGCTTAGATAAAGATCTGGCTTTGTTTAATGTAGCAGTGGAGGCAGCCAGGCGCAGAGGCTTTCTGGTTCAGCTCAGGGGCCTGTGGCAGGGAGGTGGGGAGAGGAGGGCTGCCTGGGTGTTTGTCTGATTGCGAGACCTCCGTCAGGGTGGGTGGGGGAAAGACCTGTGGGAGATCAGCCACTGGCAAAGGCAGACCTGGGGATGGAGGGCTGGAATGGGTTGTGCAGTGGGACGTACTGCTCCCCCTCCAGCCCCTGTGACTCAGTGTGGAACTTAACTACCAGATTCCCCCCGCTTGCTCTCTCTCCATCTGTACCTCCCCTGCTGCAAGATCACTCTTCATCTTTCTCTTCCTCCCTCCATTCCCTATCAATGAACTCTTCAAGTGAAGATGTTTGCAGGCATCTTTACCAGAGGTTGCGCGGACTCTGCCTATAAATCAGCAAGCCCACAGAGGTGGGTGGGTAAATATTTAGATTAGCTGAGCAGCAGCCCTGGGTCCCTTGCTGGTGAGATGGGAGCAAGGTAATACAGTAAGGTGCTCCAAGGAAAACAGAGCAGTGGCTGGTGACCCTGTGCCATCCCTGTGTTTGCTCCTGGGGACTGCCTTGGGTTGGAGGGGAGAAGCAGATGCAAGTTTCAGTGGTCCCAAGAGCTGTTCTTTTGCTCCACTGGTGCATTGTCAAGACACCAAATTTGGTCCCTCCTCTCTTACGTGGTTGGAACTCAGAAACACTTATAGCATTTCTCTCTCGATTCATCACTGAAAAGAGCCCCTGGACTGAGGGGCCCTTTGAACACAACGTAAGAGCCTTCTTGAGACCTGAGCCCGCTTGGAAGGAGCGTCTCCCTCCCCAGACCCTGCAGTGCTGCCTGGGGCAGCTGGGCTCCAAGCGCCAGAGCCAGACTGAGGGACCTGCACGTGTGTGGGATCGATTGGGAGCTTTGTACCATTCACTAGGGGCAGGGAGAAAGCTGCGACTCTCTCATGTGCACCAGCCATGAGAAGGGATCAGAGCTGGGAATCTCAAGTTTAATTTCTGATTGATTAGAAGGATTGAACAGTTGCTCAGCACGTTCTTGTTTTACAAAAGTTGCCTTCAACCTGGGAAGGACTACACTGTTTTTAATCTCCTGCATGAGTTCTTTTCAGTCCTCGTGCAAAACATGGCTGTGCCTGTTTGCTTTTCTTCTTGCTAGACTGAACTCTGTGTAAAGCAAACGCAAATTAAATCTACAGTTGGAAGATATGCCAGTGTTGTCCACTGATTTTGGTCTACTCCCCCTTGGCCCTTGCTCATAGGGGGAGCTCAAAGCAGAATAGCTCAACTAGAGGGCAGCTGGACTAAATGTAGGTGTGAATGTGGATTGTTCCAGTGGTGCTGATGTCTGGGAGGGAATTCTCCTCATTACAGCTGTAAAAAAAAAATAACGCAGTAGTCATTTCACTAGCATTTTTGGTTAACTATGATTGGTTTTCAGGCTGGATTTGGACATGTGCTAGAATCTGTCAGTAGCTATATATATAAAGATGCCAAAAGTATTGACCAGGGCAGAAAAAAAGGTCAGCTGCAGCTGATCATAATGGGTTCCTTCTGGCTTTAACAATTTATGGCTTTCATTTCTGTTCCACATGCTGTTGGGTCCAGAAATGAGTAATTTGCTCGTCAGAATACCAGTTGCTTGGAAGCAAGTGAGAGAAGGCAGCAGAGGAAAGTTGGGATTGCTGGCCTGAAGTAACGCGTGGAGATAATGGCTATGTGACATTTGCCTAACAAAAATAGGTGCAGGTTTTGACTGTGCTCAATCCCAGCTTGTTAATAGCTCACTGGTGAGTTGAGGACTTTTGCTGTAATAAAGACTTGTGATATTTTTAGTTGATGGCGGATGGAAGCTGTGACCAGCTGCCCTCACAGGGCTTCAGTTACAACTCAAAGATAGCAACCTGGAGGAAAAAAAGGGGCCTCGTGTGGTATGTGACGTGGATTCGGATATGGTTTCAGAAGTTTTGGTCCCTCTATCCAGCTATTCCTAGGAGGAACAGTCATCCAGTTCTAGCAGTCCTGGCACTGTGATACAGTGGGATTTTTGGACTGCATATGTTTCCTCCTTTCACCCATTCCACCCTCATCCTCCTGCCTGTGCTTATGCTTTCTCCAGCCCTCTCCTCTGTGCTCTGGTCGCATTGGCCCCTAGCAAGACGGGCCATGTTACAGCAACAGGAAGAGCAATAACCCTCTTATTAACCCTGATAATAACCCGGTCCCTGTGGGATAGGGGGAAATAAAACATGTTGAAGCAGCAGCCAATGCATGCATATTTCTTTACACGGTTGCAAGCGAAACACTAAAAGGCAGTTTCCCCTAGGGAAAATCCATCTGGATTTGGGCTTTAAATTTCTCCTTCCCTTGCAAACCACTGCAACCTGGCCAAGTGAAACCCTGCGTGTTGCACTTGCCACTGCTTGATGAGGGGGTCAAAGGCTTTTCTCCTGGAGGGGCATGCAGCCGCAACAGGACGTGTGCTGATTGGAGGGCTACTGCCTCTGAGCAAAGTCTGGACATATAGCAGCCTTCCCTGCTTTGATAGGAGAACCCCAAGCAGTCGATTTGGTGGAGAGCATCTCCTCATGGAAGAGGACAAGACTCCTCAGACTTGCATCTCCTTATTAAAGGACCGACAACCACCAGCTGTTGTTTGTGAGAGCCCTGGATGTGGAATGTGTCCTGGCAGCTCTCTGTCCCTGACGCTGTGGGATTGCGAAAAGCTTTGCTCCTTCACAGACACCAGTAATTACGCTGCAGGGTTGGGTGGGATTGAACCTGGGACTACACCCCTTTGTTTGGGTAGCAGAAGTATGAGACCTTTAACTTTGTTCTTTTGGATGGAGCTGCTCTCCATGACCCTGAAGTCTGTTCCCCTCATTGATGCCAAAGGTTTGGGACTTTCACACCATGTCTTGTTTCTGTTACAGGAGGTGAAGATATTCCGTGCCTTAATCTTAGGGGAGCTGGAGAGGGGCCAGAGCCAATTCCAGGCGCTCTGCTTCATCACACGGCTTCACCGTAACGAGATCATCCCCAGTGAGTCTATGGCAAAGCTGCGGCAGGTAAGAGGCGGCCCTACAGCGGGCTTCAGTGCAAGCTCCGTCCTCCAGTCCCTCCGTGGTTTCCTAGAGGTAGTGCTGTCCTGTCTGTATACCCTTCCCAGACAGCTGCTCGATGGCTCAGCTGTACACTGGACCAGCCTTTGATCACCCCTACTGCTTAAAGGATTCAGTATTAAGCTAATTTCATTAATAATATTAATCACGATCCGCTAATAAAGTAGATAGAGGCATGATTTAGTTCAGCCTAGACTGTGTTAAAGGGGAAGTGGATGGCTGCAGCAATCGCCATAAAAACCCCTGCTGCAGATTACCTAATGAAACGAGTACTAATTTGGCACCAGCTACCAGGACAAAGCACTGGTAAATGATCACAGGCAAATCCGTTATCAGTTAAGCATCCGCAAGAAGTTGTTTAAGCGCATTCTGTCCGAATACGGTGCAGGTGCATTTGCCCAAGAACATTCATTTGCGCACCTTCTTGCGTTGGCATGAAATCATGATACTCTATATGGGATAATTTGTTGCAACCAGGATTCAATTTTTTGTGATTTTTCTTTTGTCCTCTCGAGAAAAATCCCAGGACAGTGCGGCAGGCTGAGGAGGTGCGGGGCCTGGAACATCTCAGCATGGATGTAGCTGTCAACTTCAGCAAAGGTGCCCAGCTGAGCTCTCACATCCACAATGTCTGTGCAGAGGCCAAAGAAGCAATCTACACCCGAGAGGAAGATGTCAAATTTTGGCTGGAGAAAGGTAAGAGCTTCCTTTGGTTTGGTGGGAACTGCCCCTGTCATCAGGTTGTCAGAGTGCTGTGATGTCTCCTGCCAGACTACTGGTGATCAGCACAATCCCTTCAGCCTCTTGTTCGCTGCCTGCAGTACGGTGGTGGAAAATGCAGGTGTGGAAAATGCACGTGTGCAAACTGCACATCACCCTGTGCTAGGGTTTATTCTTTGGCCTGTCTGACATCTTCCATGTTGCTCTCCTAGGAAACCCAATTAGGGCAAGTACTTTCAAGGCAATCCTTCACTTGGCTTATCACCCCCAAAGAAAGATGTTCTTTACCTGCTCTCTCTATCTTTTGGCTCATTCTTCCCACAGGGCCCGTCTTCTCCAATGGCTCCTATGCAGAGTTAAGTCTGTCCACACAAACCCTGCATCTGAGCTCCCTCTAGCCTCATTCTCCGCGACAGTTCTGGAGACTGTGTAGCGAGAGCAGCGCTTGCCTTGGCAGCTGTCTCCCTTGGCCTTGTCTTTCAGCAGCAGCGCCCTGAGCAACGTCTCTGTGTTTCTTCCCGCAGGGGTGGATGGCTCTATGTTTGAGGTCCTGCCCCAGACGTCAGACCTCCCCGACCTGCAGCGTTGCAAGCTGTGCGCGGACCGCTGGAAACCCTGTATTTGCAGCTACTCGCTGAACATCGAGTGGTACCCGTGCATGCTGAAGTACTGCAAGACTCGGGATGCTGGGGGCAAGGTTTCTTCTTACAAGTGTGGCATCCGCAGCTGCCAGAAGGGCTACACCTTCGATTTTTATGTGCCGCAGAAGCAGCTATGTCTGTGGGACGAGGAGACCTAGCAGCGCCAGGCCAGGCTTTTTCAAGGGGCAGCTCGCCTGCCTCCTGCCCCCCTTTTTATGATGCTAAGGGCGTCCTGGAGTCTGCCGCTTCCAAGGAAGGAATACGGTCCACAGAGGTGCCTTGTGCTAGGAGAGCTTTGTGTGTGCCTTTCCTTCTGGCCCCTTGCACCCTCTCCCCACCTAATACTGCCTCATACTGTGATAAGCAAGCTCAGCTACCTGCACGTTAATGCTCTCCTGCCAGCTGCCAAGAGGTGCCGCTTCCTGAAAGAAGCGGGAGACGTGTGTTTCTGGGGTGAAGGCCTGGGTGGGGTGTGTTTTGCCCTGCTCTAGATTTAGCAGATGTGAAGGGAGGCAGCTCTAATTAACAGGCATCAGCCTTGAGCATCCTTATGGGTGGTCGGGGCAGGGAGAGAAGTGGTTTGACAATCTGAGCTGTCAAACATCTCTGCTACTGAAGAAGCCCCTTCACTGATTTTTGCCACCTTATGGTGACACAACAGCGTTTCCCAATGGGAAAACAGCTAATTTATGGGACCACATACTCAAACAATGTAGGTACGAAACCTCCCCAAAGCAAGAGCCTGCTCGTAGCTTTTTCTAGTTTCTGACTGGCTGTTATATCCTTCCTGTGGCTAGAAGATAGAATTGGGGGATATATCCCAGCAATTACTTATGCCCCTAAAGGGCTAGTAATTAGGGCTCTACTTAAATCCCTATGTAGAGTAGTTAAGGCCCAACTTTTTGTGTTGGTCCTGTGACTCTCCCACTAAGAAAAAAAGTCCAGAAATTGGTGACTGCCATCATAACATTGTTTGCGATGGGGGGCAGAGGATGATCCCGGGTGGGATTTGCACCATTATTTTGAAGAAGACAACATTGATCTGCCTGGCTTAGAGCAGAGGACCAAGGGCCGGGACTCCTCGGGTCTGTGTCCTGCTCTGCCAATGACTTAACAATAAGCTCTTAGATCCTGTACTGCTTTGCTGTGCCTTGGTTTCCCCTGCATGTAAAATGGGGATGACACTGAAGCTGACCTTGGCCCTGTTATATACCTGGAGGGAATTGGACAAAGAGCACTGCTGGGTTACTGCCTAATTCCTGTGTCCTCTTTTACTCGAGTTAGAACAGCCAGGGAGGTGAAAAAGAGGCTGTCGGGGTCATTACAAACCCTGGTACCTCTGGGTGAAAAGCCTTCACGGTGTGCCTTTTTGCCTAAAATCCAGGAATTTTTGACAAAACAAAACTTACATTTGATCACATTTATTTTTGTATTGATCTCCTAATGGAGAGGGAGAAGGGAAAGGTATTTTAGTATTGTGACATGAAGTAAAAACACTTGAATGATTGTTTTCTTTTTTCTAAAGCAAATTATTTATCATTTGTAAGGTAAATAAACTGATTTTTTTTTTAAAAGCATCCCTTGCCTGAGAGACTATGTGTCATCATCACAGTACAATCTAGTTGTTTGGCTTCTTGATTAAGAGCTATTTTTGTATGGGTAGGTCTTAAGCCTGTACCTAGGACATCAGAGACCCATGTATCGGGGGGAGAGGGGGAGTATCCTGCTGTCCAGTGTGATTCCCAGCTATCATCCGTGCGTTCCTGCGTCTCAAGCATACCTGGCACCCAGCCCCTCAGTAGGGAGCCAGCTCTGGCTCATCTCAAGCACCCGGGAAAGCTTGGAGCCCTAGCTCTGGTGAGCTAAAAGGCTGGTAATGGATGCAGAAAGTGGCTCTGGGGGTAGGCAGGCGATTGCCCGCTTTTCTGTCCTAGCGACAATAGGGTCCTGCAAGGGGATGTCATGCACGTGTGCAGCTGCAGTTTGTGTCTGCAACCGTCCATGAAGTTTCCTCTGTCTATCTCTGCACTGCTATAGCAGAGGGGAGATGGCTGCTTCAGAGTTTTTGGTGGGTTCAAAGCTCTGTAGCTCAGCTGCTGCTGAAGGAAGAAACGTGGAGTGCTGATTCCCCCTAGTGAGGTGAATGCAGAGACGAGGACTCTTGCAGCCTCGGCCTTCCTCCGCTCCAGCTGCCAGAGCAACTTGCTCTCACAGTGATTTTGGAGAGGCTTTGAGCGCCTTGCTTACGTAGTCAGCACTTACAGGGGGTTGTCTGCGGACCTGGCTCCTGCCTCCTTCTGCAGCAGGACACTGGGACTTGCTCCCTGCTAGCCCCAGTTAAGTCCAGTTGCTAACCGAGGTGGGCTGCGCGCAATGAGAGAGAGGAGCTGCAGGGAGCCTGGGTGCCTTTCTGCTGGGACCCTGCTGTAGCTCTTTTTTTTCCAGTTACCAGGGCTGCTGGGAGGGGGGTGAGTGCTATCTGGGAGCACCTGGGTCATATCCCAGAGGGCTGGATGCACTTACTTTGTAATGGTGAGGCTCTGGGCTGCCTGGATCATGCATAGCCCTGAGGAGAGGACAGGGCATCTCCTTGATGCTCTAAAAGGAGGATGAAGAACAGCCTGTAAGAGATGTCTCGGTTCTTCCCCAGTTCTCTCAGCATCACGGGCTGAGGCGTTTGCTCGCCAGCTGGGGAAGGCATCGTGGGGCACGACCATACCAAGCTTCTCCTTTGACTTGGTGGGCAACAGAGGAGCCTTTCATGAGCTGGCTCTGTGTTCAGCAGTGCAGGCTGGGGGCTGTTTTGATCTCTCTACCTGCGGCAGGGCCAGCACCACGTCGTGGGGGCTCTCACCTGTGCCAGGTAAGTGAAGGGCACGAATGCTGAATAACTACGGGCAGCGTATGCTGAGCTCAGCTAGACAGTATTTTTGGATTTGTGATGTGTGCTCCAGCAGAGCTGGGCTTTGAGGGGAGGAGAGCAACCAGGGCCCATCCCTAAGCGTGCTGCTGTCAGCTGAGCGGTCCCAGCGTGGGAGGGAGGTGGTGCCTCTGCTTTCCCGAAGCTCAAGCCACCTGCCTGGCCTGAGGCTAACCTGGGCCTTGGCGAGGTGCCCAGCAGCACCTTGAATCTCTGGAGCTGCTGCCCAGAAGCAGTGCAGATTTCCCGTCCTCCACAAGTGGGTGCTGCCGGATCGTGTGTGCGCGCCGAGAGCGACAGGCTGGCGAGGTCCCTGGGGGAAAGCGCTCATGGCAGAGCTTTCTGCAGGCCAAAAAGGCAGTGAAGGTGATGCACAGCTCCAGGATGTAGGGATGCATGTGTTTTACGCCCCAAATTACAGATTGATAGCTTGGTCCCTGAAAGAGCTCATTATCTTCCCATCCACGCAAGAAGAGAACTGCACTGCAGTACATTTGCCTTTGCAAAGGAAAATACTTCTTCTTGATGCACTTAAACAACACTCTTGCAAAACAGCTGTTGCAGGCGGTGCCAGGGGAACTTCCTGGCGCAGAAGGATGCCGCAGTTGGCCAGGAGGACTGGTATAAATCCTTGCTGGTAGGAAAAGCAGTAGGGGATTTTGTAATGTCTTTCTGCAGTTTGTGCTTTCAGGGCCCAGCCAAAAGGCCACGCTCCACAAATCAAGTTCTCTCTGTGGAGCTTATCTTCCTGCAAGAGAGAATCAACTCTGGCAGCAAATGTGGAGAAATACCCGCATATAATGAGGATGAGGGTGGATAGGTCATTCATTGATGCCCGTGGGGGGAAAAAAAAATCCATCAGGTGACTTCTGGCAGCAGTGTATCTGCTGGCATCCAGGAGTGAATCTCAGAGCAGGGTTAAAGCAAATCTGCCTTTGCCTGGAAAAGATGGTCATATTTCTGCAGCAGCAAGGACTGCTGATGCTTTGATACCTACCCTGTATTTTCTCTCTGCCAGTGGCAGCGGTGTTTGAGGTAGCTTAGGAGGTGTAGTGTCTCCTGCCTGCGTGGAAGAGTGCTGAAGCCAAGGGCAGTTCAGTGAAGGCCTTTGCTCCCACAGCTGTATGGGGAGCAAACTACTGAACCTTTCTTTTTCTTCTTCTTTCCTTTTTTTTTTTTAAATCTCCCTGTTCCATTGACCACAAAATAATAGTCAGAAAAAGCAGCTCATACCAGCTCCAGGGTAGGACTGGGCGCACTGGAGGATTCCCAGTTACTTTTTGAAGGCGCCTGCAGGGCCAGGAGAGGGCAGTGCATCCCTGCCTATCCGCCAGGACAGCATCCCAGCCGGAGGATGCCTGGGAGATCCCTGTACAGGCCCGGACCCCTGGTGCTCCAGCACAGGCCACGTGTCTCTGCAGTAAGGGAAGAGTGTCAGGGTGCTGAAGGAGCAGTATCAAGTGAAAGAGCCAGCCAGCATGCACAGAAGTGCTCCGATTCGGGGGACAGGAGGCTCTCGTAGCCCCCCAGCCTCCCTAGGACCTTTCACTCGCTCCTGTGGCCCAGAGGCCCTTCAGGCTGGCTGGGAGCCACCACTAAATCCATGCCTGACGCAGTGAGGACACCTGATCGCGTCATCCTTCAACCTGGGGAAAAACCCAGACGTTGGGGACCATGCCGAAGCCGCTAAAAAACACCAGCAGCTGCCCCGGTATGCCCGGACCTTCAGGCCAGGCCGGCGGGCTCTGCCACGGCATCGGTGGCAGGAGTCCAGCCCCACCAGCAGCTCGAAACAAGATGCTTGTGCAAACCACCCCATGTCACCTTTCTGCTTCCTGGAGTAGCTCTAAACACAGCCCTAGAAATCTCCCTTTCGTTCCCCTTCTTCCCCATCCTGCAAGCATCGGTGTGACCCCAAGCGCTCTCGGGAACTTCCCCTCCTCTCCGCCCTCCCGCTTCCATTTCCCCCTCCTGTTCCGCGTTAGACTTTCTCTTCGCGCTTCTACCCTTTCTTTCCAGCGTGTCTCCCTCTCCCGAGGATTTCCTTTCTGACCGTGGGCGCCAAGGGCAGGCACTTCAAGGCCGTAACATCAGATTGGGTTGGAGGTTAGGCCCGGAGAGCCTGCCTGCCCGCCCACCCATCTCTTTGGAGAAACCTGTCTTTCCAGGGAGGGAGAGCAGCATGTGGGAAAGCCGAGAGCCCAGGAACGCGAATGAGCCGGGGAGAGATGAATGTGTGATAGCTTGTACCTGGCAGCTACCAATGGAGCGTGTTAACGCTTTCAGGATAGGTTTGAGCGGCGCCGGAGCCGGGGAGTTTCACGCGGGCTCCCTGCTACCTCGGCCGGCAGCGGGGGGGGTGCCG